AAAAGGAAGGTGCACAATCAAATCCGTCAAGAATGGAAAACAACATCTGATGGAAAAGGAAAAATTATAAAATCTTTCCATCAACGTGGCACCATCCGAAGAGGAAGCCAAGGCCACTCTCCCCTATAAATAGGAGCCTTGGCCAATTCATTACACAACAAAGTTCATTTGAAGACTCGCGCAAGGGTAAGTCTCCCTAGACTCTCTGCAATGTTCTTCATGTTCTTCGTGTCCTTCGAAGCATTCTTCGTCGAAAGTCATTAATTTGGACAAATGATCCAATATTGGTTGACGAATAGATGGAGTTAACGTTCTTCGTCGTATGTCCGAGTCGGATGAAGGATCAAAGCTCACAAAGCCATCGAGAAATCTATCAAAGCCAAGGAAGAGCCTCCAAAGTCGCTCCCAAAGCTTCAAGATGTTCATCGCGTTCTTCATCAAAGGCGCAAACTCAGCCCTCTTCGATCCAAAAGTCAAAGGGATACGTCGCCAAAAGCGTTACGGAGCACCAAATATACCTCCTCAAAGATCAAAGTTGCGGATCGTCTAAAGAAGACAACAAATCCAAAGCCGATGATGAAATCGCCCACATGGAGACCAAAGCTCTCTAAAAGGCGGTAAAGCCAAAGCAAAGGTCAAAGTCGTGGATCGTCTAAAGAAGACAACAAATCCAAAGACGATGATCAAATCGCCACCACGGAGACCAAAGTCCTCCAAAAACGGCAAAGTCAAATCAAAGATCAAAGCCTCGGATCGTTCAAAGAGGACATCAAATCCAAAGCCGACGATCAAATCGCCTGCACGGAAACCAAAGCTCTCCAAAAGCCGAAAAAGTCAAAACGAAGACCAAACCTCTTCGGATCAAAGAAGCCATAGAAAACCAAGATGGAAAATAAATCGACCCGGAAGGAGAATCAAAGGACCCATTTAGAGAATAGGACCCGCTTTAAATTCAAATCAAATATAATTTGTACAAATTTTGTGTTTATTAAAAATGACACAATTTTTTTGTCCACAGATTTTTGGCACGCCCAGTGGGACAACTCTACCTTTCATCTCTTTTTCCGTCGAATTCTCAAACGATCAATGGCTTCCTACAAGATCAAGACTTTCAACGCTGTGTCGAAAGCTGGTGCTCTAGCCGCCGCCACCAAAGGAGTCATTGCTACTACATCAAGAACCTTAAGTGCTTCAACGAATGCTTGAGTGATGACACGAAGCATGGCTAAAAGAGTACTGTCATTTTCGAGGATGCACATCCGAAAATCACAGAGCAAAACTTACTCTATGAGGAGGACGAAAGCTTCAAGAGTACCTCCGCACCGGGCACCCCTCAAGAAGTTGCAACTAATTCTACTGCATCGAGTTATGCCCCGGTGATGACCACGAATGCTTCAAACATAGAAGACCAACTTGTTGCACTGGCCAAAGTTGTTGAAGGGATGTCTCAACATATGCATCAACAAGACAATGTCATTGCAAAACTGCTTGCAAAATTAGACAAGCCGGAACCAACCAACCAGAATGCTTCAGAGGCCCAAAATGAAGCAGAACTATCCATGGATCAACGCCACAGTAAAGAAAAAATGGCGGGACCAATACCATTTCAAGCATCATCTGACTCATTCATCCATCTATCCGAACTTGACGAGTATATCAAAGGAGCTCTCAAAAGGGAGTTTGAAGGAAGTTCAAGGCCAACAAATATGTATGCTAAGCCTTACACTTCAAGGATCGATGCCCTCAAGATGCCGTTGGGATATCAACCGCCGAAGTTCCAACAATTTTATGGCAAAGGCAACCCAAATCAGCATGTAGCACACTTCATGGAAACATGCAACAACGCTGGGACATATGGCGATCTCTTGGTGAAGCAGTTCGTACGGTCATTAAAAGGCAACGCCTTCGACTGGTACATCGACCTGGAGGCTGGTTCCATCGACAGTTGGGAGCAGTTGGAGTACGAGTTCTTGAACCGGTTCTACAGCACGAAAAGAACCATCAGTATGACAGAACTCACCAATACTCGTCAATGGAAAGATAAACCAGCAATCGACTACATCAACCGCTGGAGGAGTCTGAGCTTGAATTGCAAAGACCGGTTGTCTGAAGCCTCCGGTATAGAGATGTGCGTTCAAGGAATGCACTGGGGGTTGAAATACATCCTGCAAGGGGTCCGACTCCACACTTTCGAAGAACTTGCTACCCGCGCTCATGACATGGAGTTAAGTATGGCTTCAAGCGGGATGCACGGACCACCAGTTCAAGAATCTTCAAAAGCAAAAAGATACGAAAGATATGATTCCGTAAAGAAGGGGAACAACGCCCCTATCAAGTCTTTCGGAAAAAAAGCCTTGGCCATAAAAGCGACGACCAAAGCACCACTGAAAATCCAAAGTAAAGAAAAGGAAGTTGCAAGGAAAAGACAGTCAACTCAGACAGAAAGACCGCCAACGCCAACCCTTAAAGAATTGCAATCCAAAACTTATCCTTTCCTGGATTCTGACGTCTCGGGCATCTTTGATGATCTACTCAGAGAAAACCTTATTGAACTTTCGAATTCAAAAAGACCAAATGAAGCTGGAAAGGTTGATGACCTAAGATACTGCAAATACCATCGTGTCATAGGACATCCCATCCATAACTGTTTCGTCTTTAAAGACAAAGTCATGGAGTTGGCTCATGAAGGAAAGATCACCCTTGAAGACGATTTTGTTTCTGTTAATGTCACTTCAATCATGTTCGGGTCTCTCGAAGTTGATGTAAAAGACAAAGAATCATATTGCCTCACTACCGAGAAAGGTGGCAAGGCGATCAGAGACAAATCGAGTGAAGAGTGTGCCATGATAACTTTCATTGATGAAGATTTGATGTTACGATCCAAACCCCATAATCGTCCATTACTGGTCGTGGGTTATATCCATGAACAAAGGATTAGCCGGATATTCATAGACGGAGGAGCCGCAGTCAATGTCCTTCCTCTATACACATTGCAAAAATTAGGAATACCAGTAGATCAGTTGTTCGAGAGTCGTATAACAATACATGGATACAATCAAGAGGGGCAAAGAGCACTTGGCACCATAAGATTGAGACTCTTAATCGATGAAATGGAAACTAACCCTTTGTTCTACGTGATAGATGCAAAGACATCTTTCAACGTTCTTTTGGGAAGACCATGGATACATGAGAATGGTGTAGTTCCATCAACGTGGCACCAATGCTTCAAATACACTCAAAATGGAGTGACAAAAAAAGTTCTCGGAGACACAAAGCCATATGCAGAAGCCGAGTCACACTTTGCGGACGCCAAATATTTCTCTACAAAAGCAAAAAAATCCAAGGTACATGAAGATGTCAAAGCACCACAACCAAACTTGGGGGCAAAGTCAAGAGATAAAGAAAAAACACCTGCCTCAGGTTCTGCAGACTCATTAATTGAGCCTCTGAAAGATTTGACTCTTCCGAAGACCCCACTCAACCCAATCTCCCCCTCACAGATAAGGAACGGAAAAGAAGAAAAAATAGAGGCTATGCGATTGCAAAAGGATAAAAGCTTTGGCCCAAAAGCGTACAAACTTCTCACAAAAGCTGGATGTAATCCAAATGAGGAGTCACTGCTGGGAAAGTTACCACCACAGACAACCCAAGGTTCGAGGGCTGGTCTTGGATACATGCCACAAGCTCCCGTACGCAACGCTATCAAAAGGGCTGCAAACCATTATATCACCGAAAGTGAGTGTTTGTCTTCCAATTCACCTCAAAAGGGGAAGAATACAAGAGTATCGGTTTTCGAGAGGCTAAAACCTTCTGTCTTCACAAGGTTAGGACCAAAGATCAATAAAGAGAAAAACAAGACGAATTCCACATCAACAAAATATGTGGAGATGGATGCAGAAATCAGAAGCCGCTTTCCATCCCGCATAACGCGTCAAATAAAAATGACGATACATTGCGGTAAAGTTTTAAAGGCTAAATGGCAAACCGTTGTTTTCACCAAACCCAAAGAAGATAATGAAGAAAGTGTTGCATCATCCTGCTACATCACTGAAGGGGGTGAAGAGACAATGATTGAAGAAGATGCAGAAAATGCACCCGCCGCGCTTGAAGAATGGGTCAAAGCTGCAGTGGACGAGTTAGAATAAATCAACTTGGGAATTGAAGATCACCCAAGACCCATCTATGTCAGCAAAGAGCTGGGTGAGGATGATATGAATGCCTATACCCGACTTCTCAACGAATTCCAAGATGTCTTCGCTTGGTCATATAAAAAAATGCCCGGCTTAGCCCCGAAAGTTGCGGTCCACCATCTAGGTGTGAGGAAAGGAGCTCGCTCTGTAAAGCAAGCGTAACGAAGATTCCGTCCTGAACTCATCCCTTAAATTGAAAATGAAGTCAACAAACTCATTGAAGTGGGATTCATCTGGGAAGTTACATATCCCCAATGGATTTCCAACATCGTACCTGTAAAGAAGAAGAATGGACAAATCCGAGTTTGTGTGAATTTCCGGGACTTAAACGAAGCATGCCCAAAAGATGATTTTCCTTTACCCATAACTGAATTGATGATTGATGCAACGACAAGACATGAAGCGCTTTCTTTTATGGATGGATCATCTGGATATAACCAAATTCGTATAGCACCTGAAGACGAAGAGTTAACTGTCTTTCGTACACCGAAAGGTATCTACTGTTACAAAGTTATGCCTTTCGGATTGAAAAATGCTGGGGCAACCTACCAAAGAGCAATGCAAAAGATCTTTGATGACATGCTACACAAAAATGTAGAGTGCTATGTTGATGACTTGGTTGTCAAATCCAAGAGAAAAGAAGATCACCTGCAAGACTTAAGAAAGGTTTTTGAAAGGTTGAGGCGCTACCAATTAAAAATGAATCATCTCAAGTGCGCTTTTGGAGTCACCTCTGGAAAATTCCTCGGATTCATTGTCCATAGTCGTGGAATTGAGATTGAATAGGCAAAGATAGATGTCATCTCAAAAATGCCTGAGCCTCGTAACATCCACGAGCTAAAAAGCTTACAAGGGAAATTAGCATATATAAAAAGATTTATCTCTAACCTCGCTGCACGATGTCAACCTTTTAGCCAAATCATGAAGAAGGGAGTGCCTTTCCATTGGGATGAAGCATGCAAGAAGGCATTCCAAAGTATCAAAGACTACTTGACAAAGCCACAAATGCTGACAGCGCCAATTCCTGGACATCCGTTGACGCTTTACATCGATGCACAAGAATGTTCAGTTGGAGCCTTGTTAGCACAGGAAGCCAATAAACGGAAAGAAAATGCCCTCTACTACCTCAGTAGAATGATGACACCAAATGAACTAAATTATTCACCGGTGGAAAAGATATGCTTGGCAATCATCTTCGCCATAAAAAAGTTGAAGCATTACTTCCAAGCGCACACTATCCGGTTGTTGTTCAAAGCAAATCCCTTAAAATATGTCATGTCAAAGCCTGTCCTTTCTGATTGGCTCGCGAGGTGGTACCTGCAGCTGCAACAATTCAAAATCATTTATGTACCACAGAAAATTGTAAAAAGACAAATATTGGCTGACTTCCTTGCTGATCATCCCATCCCCGCTGAGTGGGAGTTGTCTGACAACTTCCCTGATGAAGACGCATTTTTTTTCGAAATCACCCCACCGTGGAAAATGTATTTTGACGGCTCATCACACAAAAATGGAGCTGGAGCCGGACTAATATTTGTCACATCACAAGGAGAAGTCCTTCCATACTCTTTTGCCTTAAAAGAAAAGTGTTCAAATAATGTGGCTGAGTATCAAGCACTCATCCTCGGCCTAAAAATGGCGGTAGACATCAAGCAACGCCAACTTCAAGTATACGGGGGCTCCAAGCTGGTTGGAAATCAAATCACTGGAGAGTTTGAAGTGAAGAAACCAGAACTAATGCCTTACTTAAAGTATGCTAAGGCACTCATTGAGTTGCTCGGGGATGTCTCTATTGAATATGTCCCGAGGAAAGGGAATGGGCAAGCTGACGCTCTGGCTAAACTGACATCGACTCTATCCATCCCGGATCAACAGGTGTATATTCCGATACGCAAAGTTTGGGTGGATTCCTGCAAGTATAAAGAAGAAGAATGTGTTGATAAAGAAGTAAATCACCTCATCGAGGTGTTTGAAATTGAAGAAGAAGAAGAAGATTGGCGGCAACCAATATTAGATTTCCTAAAATATGACAAGCTCCCGAGTGACCCGCGCAGACGAGCAGATATCCGAAGAAGAGCTGCACGCTATGCCTAATTCAACGGCATACTCTATCGTCGGTCATTTGACAATATGTTCCTTCAGTGCCTCGGCAATCATAAAGCCAAACAAGCTATGGAGGAAACTCATGCCGGAATCTGTGGAGCTCATCAAGCTGGCCCAAAGTTACACTTCCGAATAAAAATGATGGGGTATTATTGGCCAACCATGGTTAAAGACTGTATAGAGTTTGCACGGAGATGCCAACCGTGTCAATTTCATGCTAACTTTATCAATCAACCACCGGAACCATTGCACCCAACTATTGCTTCGTGGCCATTCGATACCTGGGGCATGGACGTCGTAGGACCACTCACAAAGTCGTCTGCTGGACATCTCTATATCTTGGCCGCAACAGACTACTTCTTCAAATGGGCAGAAGCAGTACCTTTGAAAGAAGTCAAAAATGAGACGGTAGCTGACTTCATACGAGTCAACATCATTTACCGTTATGGGGTTCCTCGGTGTATCATCACTGATAATGGAAGATCTTTCGCCAATACTCACATCGAAAAGCTTTGTGAAAGGTTTGGCTTCCAACAAAAGAAGTCCTCGATGTATTATGCACCGGCAAATGGACTCGCAGAGGCATTCAATAAAACACTTTGTAATTTGCTGAAAAAGGTTATCTCCAAATCAAAAAGAGATTGGCATGACCGCATTGGTGAAACTTTGTGGGCCTATTGTACTACATTCCGCACTCCAACACAAGCGACACCATACACACTTGTATATGGGGTCGAAGCTGTCCTCCCATTGGAAAGACAAATTCCTTCACTAAGGATTGCTCTTCAGGAAGAATTGACGACCGAAGAAAATGTCAGATTAAGACTTGAAGAGCTAGAGGCTCTCGACGAGAAAAGACTACAAGCTCAACAAAGACTGGAGTGTTATCAAGCACGATTGTCTCAAGCTTACAATAAAAAAGTCAAATCACGATCCTTTCAAATCGGGGACTTGGTTCTTGCTGTGAGAAGGCCCATTGTGATCAACTTTCGTTCAGAAAATAAATTTTTATCCAAGTGGGATGGACCATACGTCGTCACTCATGTCTACACAAATGGTGCATACAAGTTGACATCTCAAGATGGACTCCGGAGAGGGCCAATCAACGGGAGGTTCCTCAAAAGATATTATGCGTGAGACCTTCAAATCAAAAAATCAAGACTCCTTAGCATGAGAATAAACTGCAAAATAATAATTAAAGCAAATTCAAGTTTCTTTGAACTACGTTATGACTTGGTCCCTTTACCGGGTACGTAGGCAGCTTGAGATATACCTTCAAGTTAAGTCAAATAAAAATAAATAAATAAAAGAATGAGAGAATTTAAATTTATTGATTGGCAATCAAAATGAAGAGTACAAATTGATCTTAAAAATTAAGATTATACAACTCTTCTTTGCTAATATCCAACAACTCTTCTAAGCTTCTTAAGTATTCTTCGTCTTGTGCGGGGACATTCTCTACGGCGGCGAGTTCATCCTTGACTTCAGCAATTTGAATGGTGATATTCTCATTAACTCCTTGACATCGCTTAATAAGGGAAATATTCTTTTTTTTTTGCTATTGTAAAGAGCGAAACTTCACGTCAATATTCTCCACACACCCCTCTAACTCCTTAATAGCTTCGCACTCCTCAACATGCCTCATCTCAAGGTGCGACAAGCGATCTTTGATCTCGGAAATTTGTTGGTTACGAGCCGCCAAGGATACGGAGTCGATCGAGTTAGAACATGCCTCGTCAAAAGATGCAGCGTTATCAAAAAGGGCCTTGACTCGGTCCTCAATATGAGAAATGTCAGAATACTTAAAGGTTTTCATTGATTGGAGCACTACTTCAACCTCGTCCTTAATCGAGGAAAGCAAACGAGCTGGTGTTCTCAAAAGCTTACCCCAAAGATCCGACCATACTTTTCCTATATATTCGCGTTGGATCCCTTTCACAAAATTCGCGCCACAGAATTCTGAAACCGCGGGCACAACAGAATGAACAACTATGGGCTTGGTTGGAGCATCCTTTACTTGCTCATTGCAAACACCTCTGCTTTCCCCAATCACCTCAACAATGGAATCTTGGCTCGCCATCTTTTCATCCATACTTGGGATTCTTTGCTCCAACTGAAAAAAGGGATAAAAAAAAAATCATGTAAAAAAAAAAGAAATAAAAAAGATATAAAAGTTACCTCTCTCGCGAAATCGCTCGAAGAATAGTGTCGGCTCGAACGAGGACTTGACGGGTTGATGATATGGGGATCTCGACGAGCTCGCTTCCAATGAACATCATGCTCACTACTGCTTCGTTTAGAGACAGAAGGTACCGCCCGCTTTGAAGAACCGACATTGGGGGTACTTGAATTTCCATTGTTCCTCTTAGGAAGACCCGGAATAAGTAGCGGCATTTTTCGAGCTTTATCCGATGGCTTGGTCTGATCGGTGGTCTTTTGTACCGGCGGCATATACTCATCCAAGAAAGACCCGCAAACTTGAGTCCACCACTTCTTGTATACGTCAGAAGAAAATCCCCTCGGACTCGCAGGAATGCGTGGAAGAATAACTTCGGCTGAAGATTTCAAGTAAGTGCTTTGGTGCCAATATTGATAGCCTTCCTCAAAAGCGCAGCAACGGACGTCTTTCAAAAGAACTCCGGAAATCTCTTGGAAAAAACCGAATTGACGGCAAAAATGGTGGGGACTATACGGCTCCATGAAGCATCGAAATCCATCCCGCAAAGTCAGAAAACAAAAGCGAATGGAGATGAAGTATTCTTGCTCGTAGTCTTCGCGCTTCCCGTCATCAACAAACCTTACGTCGAAGTCTTTCATGATCATGGTGCAAGCCCAACGAAAGTAGTCACCGCGCAAGATTTTTTGGCATGCAACATCTGCTCTATACGCACGAACACTAACAGCCCCGGAGTGCTTCACCATCCCCGGACCACGGATTCCCTTCCATACGCTGTAATGAGTCTGAAAATACTCAGCGATCCATCCGGTCAAAAAGTGGAGAGGAATTGTCGACCGAACTTTCCCAGGACATGATGAATCCGCAATCTGGTTCAGCCCTCTATAAATACTGGTTAAGACTGGAATGGCCAAGCTTACTGGAAATCCCAACGCTAGGACACTTGCCATCTTGAAAGTTGAAGGACGTATCAAACCAACATCGTCGAGCGGAGAAGCACAAAGATGCAAAGCCAACAAGAAAGGAACATTGCGAGAAAAGTCTCCTCAAGGTGCTCCCATCCAACTTTGAGTTAGGCAAAAGATGACTCTTGCGCCTTCGACCATGGCTTGTGGGCACCAATCTCTCCGGTAGGATTGTAAGTCGCATCAGGCCGAGAAGAACGAGTAGACTCCTTGCCGCGACGAATTTGAGGACGCTCGTATTTGATGGTCTTTTTGCACCAAAAAGAAATCCAGTCGGTTGCGTTGACGCCACGTCGACCTTTGTCACGACTCTGAAGAAGGTGATAGGCATGCAACAGGTACCGGCACGAAAGGGGAACCAGCTTCCTATCCTCTTTACTGCCATATAGCTCCTTTGCGCTTGGTACCACCTCTTCGTAAAATGAGCCGAGTATGGGGAGGCCCGCCAAGGACGCCAAGTCACGGAGAGAGATCGACACTTCACCGGCGGCAGTCAAAAGGGTGTTGGTTCTGGAACACCATGCCTCGGAAATGGCCTTGAGGATCTCCGGAGAATAGTCGTAGGAGAACAAGGAAGCATAGACCGCATCGTAAATGCATCCTCTTTTTAGTGGAATGTCGCATCGATCCAGAACATCCTCTGCCCACTCCCAATAGCTGGCCACGTACGAAAAGCTGTCATCAAAAGAAGGAAGACCATTCCAAGCGCACGCCCCATCCATGATCCGCCGCCCCAAGGTTGGAAGTGGAAGAACATCGTTTAGCACGTGTTGATGGAGTGAGGATTGCAAGGTATGGTTTCCGCCAGCGGCATTCCGAGACCACGTCTTTGGGAAATTTGGGACCTCCAAGCGAGGGTGAGCAGCTCCGCGTCCTATAAGTGGTGGATGCACCAATAGACGAGTCGCCTTGTCCAGCGGTTGGCCTTCAAACTCGCAAATCACCAACTCGGCGTTTCCAGAGGGGGAGGAGACATCCTTGAAGTAAGCCATCTCGTCTACAAAAGCAAAAAACAACAAACAAAGATCAAAAGATGAAAAAAAAAAAACAGAACAACACAAGAGAAAGAAACTTATGCTAGAATGAGAGAAATCAAAGTTGTGAGAAGTGAAAAATAACAAAGTTCTCTCATAGTAAGGGGTTTATGTAGTGTCTAAAAAATTGAAACATGGAAAGACACGCATATAAGGAAATAAAGAGAAAAGGAAATAAAAAAAAGGAAGGAAGATAAAAAATAAAAAAAAAACAAGGAAAGAATATATATTAAGAATATATATATACGTATATATATATATGATATGTGTATATAAAAAAAAGGGGGGGGCAAAAACGCCATTTAAAAAAAAGAGAATTTTGCAAAAAAAAAAAAGGGAATTTTGAAAAAAAAAGGCAAAAAAAAAATGCCACTTTTGAAAAAAAAATGCCAAAAAAAAAGAAAGCGCCTTGAAAAGAAAAAAACAAGGAAAAAGAAATTCTTTTATGATGTTTCGAGACTCGTTCACGCCTTAAACGCTTTGCGTCGGCTTAAACAAGTCTCGAGGGGGCATTTGTAGGCATTAAAAATTAAATGTCTAAATTAAATTAAATATCATGTATTTTGGAAGAAAATAAAATTCCAATAATATAAATATATGGTATTTAATTATGCACATATGTTAATTTTTTGTACAATAAGTATCAACCATTAATGCAAAAATATGCTTAAAATGGAAGATATCGTACAAATATTACGTGCATAAATAGAGCCATAATAAATTTGGCAGCAAAATAAATTAATCTTGTCAATAAAGGAAGTATATAAATTAATATCTTCAAAAAAAGACAATGATATAAAGACCTTGTCAATAAAA